TTTACACACGCACAAATCTTTTTACACGCGCACAGATATTTTGAGACTATTGAGACTATTTTCACTCCATAAAATAGTGCGTACTCTACAGTTTTTAACAAAATAAGCTAAAGAGTGGCTAATAAACTAGAGTCTCTGGATTCCAAGTTTGTTCTAATTCCCTTTTCTGGGTGAAAAGTGAGTACCGTACTCCACAGTTTCTAACAAAATGAAATAAAAAGAGTAAAGGACATATTAGGGCACAGAGCAACATTTTTTTTTTTTTTTTTTCATTTACAGTTTTAAGGCTTTTTTTCAAATGTAATATTTGAATCTTATTTAGCTCACTAACTCCTATGTTAATAAAAACAGTTTGAAGCGAGAGGGAGGGGCCGAGCATTATTAATGGCCAACAGCTCAGCATGTTGGAGTAGAGAGAAGCTGACGGTAGATAGAAAAAGAGAAAGCATGTTTTTTTCTTACAATCTTCAACACATAGCCTTTAAAAATTACGTAATAAAATCTTTTACATTTTTACCATAAAAACCCTGGTGCTTTGACCAATAAGTTTAAGTTATGATAATATTCATTATTTCTATTATTGATTGTCAGTCAACCTGGACATGGCAAAACTAAAAAAGGTTTAAAAATAAAGCAACTTAACAAGTTATAATTTAAATAATACATAACTTGTATTGCGAGCTGCTACAATAAATCAATATTTATGAAGAATTTTATTAAAACTTGTTTTTATTTAGAGCCTTAAATGTTTTGTACAGATGTAGCAGAAAGAAATTAGTTATGTGACACTGAAGCAAACTCAATTCTAAACTGAATTTTAATTTTATTTTGACTTTGAGTCTCAACAGTTTGTTTACTAAGAAATACACACTTTTGATGTGTATTGCCACCTATAGTAATTTTTGATCCTGGAGTTTGAACAGGTTAAAAACTTTTTAAACCACACTTTACGTTACATATTACTGTAACGTTGCCAACCTTTGAAAAATTGCTCTTAAGAAATGTTGCAGTGCCACGGTAAGCATAGACATAATATAAGAATAGATGCCTCAAGAACCGCTCTCGCCTTTTGTAGCTGACGGGATTTAGGGCGGCCATCTTGGAGCGGTACACCACTCCACTCAGCGTTATGTGTTTAGCAGCACAATGACGTATCAGCGGATTTAATCGATCATAACACACTTTTTTGTTACTGGAAACCATATTCAAAAATCTATCAAAGCTACATTTATAAACAATTGTATTTTTTAAGTATGTTTTTAATACATAGTTCAGCATATTCTAATATGCTTAGTGGCTATAACAATAGAATAGGAATGGAATATTCTGATATTGATGTATGATGAGCATTTTACAAAGCACACAGCCGTTCATAATTTATTTAATAAATTATATCAAAATATATTTATATAACTATGCAAACACTAATAAATAAAGATTAATAATGGCACAAATAAATAATGATTAATAGTGAATAATATATATATATATATATATATATATATATATATATATATATATATATATATATATATGTTTATGTTTTTCAGCAGACGAGTCCAAAATCCGGTGTGAGATTCATCCGTGCTGCAGTGAATC